ATTTCTAAAATTATTCTCGACACAGACATTCACATCAACAGTCTGGTGCAATAATAGATTTGCTTCGGGTGTTTTGTGGAGTGGGTAAGACTGTTTTTAGTGGCAGGATAACTATGACCATTGACATACACTAGCCTAGCACCAGTGACCTCTGCAAATACAAGGACTGAATGGAATATTTAGAAAGTGTCTCCACACATCTCCAACACTCTGTCCAGAGTTTTGGACATAGGACCTCATTTCCTAGTGAGCCAATTCTGAAAATCGCTACTTTGCAATGTGGAAGAAAGTCCCAAAAAGTTACAGTTTCCTTTACAGAGGGGGTATAACAAAAAATCTACATGACTTTTTCCTCACTTGCAATTTTGAACAGTGTACTGCTAGGAGACAAGGATGCGACAAGTATTTCTTAGCAATAAAAATGTATGCAACTGAATAAATGCAAGATACTGTGAAAGATTCTGGGCTCATCTTAATGGAGAAAAACAGATGGGAGCTCTCTCACCAGAAAAGTTAAACTGTTACATTGTGCACTTTTAAGAACATATGGCTTATAAACATTTGCACACAAAGAAATAGTTTACTTAGAGAACAAATTATAATTTACTTAAAGGGTCAATATAATAATGCTATATCTACATTATAATGTCAAAAAAATACCAGGAGTTGCATTTTGTTTCATTCACACATATCCTGCATAGTTAGACTGAGTTTTTTCATACTGAAAACACTCTGTTCCACCTTGTGATGTCATGTGCTAATGCTGGAAGAGCTCCACTGTGTTTGTAATCTCCATACATCTTCACAAGAATCATTTGGATGATTTCAGCCCTGGAATTGTGAATGTCTATTGAACTAAAGGTAAGAAGCTGTTAACTTGAAAACTACTACCATATTTTTCAGACAATAAGGCACTCTGGGCTATAAGTCGCACTTTTGGGGGGAAAGTTATTTTATAAAATCAGAGACCAGGAACCGACATTTCATCTTGAAAGGCAAGTTCTAGTAATAACAATAGAACAGAGAACAACAGACTGTTAACGTCACATATGAACAGTTCTTCAGATCAATATAGCATAAAAAACAGAACAGAACAAGTTTACCATGCTCTCCATCTCACTCCAAATGACTTAATCCATTTAATTCTTCATCCTCGGTGTCACTTCTGAGCAACTCCATGACCTCCAGAGGTAAACAGAGCGCCGCTTCCTCTTCTGTGTAGCTGTCATCAGACTCAGCATCAGTTCCAGTTAGAATTATTCCGGCCTTTCAGGATAGTTTCGGTGTCACTGAAGTCCAGGCTTTGTCAATCCATTCAGTGACTTCCAGGAAAGTGTCATGGCGCATCCTCACGGTTACCGTGAAGCTGTGTTCTCCATCCCCGCTTTCTACAAGTCCCTCACAATTTTCTCACTTACTCCAAACTTTCTTCCTGCTGATTGATTACCATTTTCAGCTAAATAGTTCACTACTTGCAGCAGGAAAGAGACTCTTTCTGCAGGACACATGTGCAGTAGAGTGAAGTGACAGTGGTGGAAGCGTAATAGGAGTAACACATACTGGCACACAAGCTTAAAGTGCTTGGAGTCGTATATGTCGCATAATAATAATAATAACAATAATAATAATAAATAATAATAGGATTACTCAAGCATGTGTGAATCAAACAAAGCACAACTGCAGGTCTGTTTTTCAGGAGGTAACAACATTGTAACATAGTTTAATTAATGGAGCGTTAAGCCTTGTTAGAATGCTGTTACTTCCCCACTAAGATATATGGAGTTCTGTTTTGTTTCATCTAAACATATTTGAGTAACCCTGCATTATTAGTCCATGTAAATCTCCAAAGTTCAAAATGCTCTGTTCCACCTTGTGATGTCATGAAGTGGTAGTTTTCAATTTAACAGCTCATTTTACCTTTAGTTTAGAAGAGATGGGCAATTCCAGGGCTGAAATCGCCCAAATCTGAGGTTTTCAATAGATGAAGCTCGCCTCCCCTGGGGGGCACCAAAGAGCCATTGGAGAGGAGCAACACACACGGAAAAAAATAACGGTCCACATCTGTACACATCTGCAGCAATATTGATATTGGTAATTGTGCGTGCTGTTAAATTATGTTGCCATTCTGATAACATACTCATAGGTTGCAGCGTCACCTTCTTTTGCCTTGCACACGCTGCGTGGACCGCGCCTCCTCCCGTACGCAGCACAGGCCGCGCTCTAAACCAGAACTAAACCAGGACTAAAACCAGGACTAAAACCAGGACTAAAACCAGGACTAAACCACAGGATAAAATTAGGACTAAACTCAGGTCTAAACCAGGACTAAACCAAGACTAAAACAAGCTCTAAACAAGTTCTAAACCAGGTCTAAATGAGGACTAAACCAGAACTAAAACCAGCTCTCTACCAGGACTAAATAAGGACTAAACCAGGTCTAAACCAGGACAGAACCAGAACTAAAACCAGGACTAAAATCAGGACTAAACCAAGTCTAAACCAGGACTAAACCAGGACTGAACCAGGACTAAAATCAGGATTAAAACCAGGTCTAAACCAGGTCCAAACTAGGACTAAAACCAGGTCTAAACCAAGATTTAACCAGGACTAAGATGACATCACAAGGTGGAACAGTGTTTTCTGTTTGAGAGGAATTCAGTCTAAATGTGCAGGGTTTGTGTGTTAAACATGTGTTAATGAAACAAAACACAACTCCAAGTCTGTTTGTGATGAGGAAACAACATAATAACAGAGATCAGAAAATAGCATAATAGGGGCTCTTTAAACCTCACAGGAATCCATTTTGCATAATATAAGACCTTTAATAGTCACCCTCCTCGTTCTATTTCTGAGTTCTTCTTTTTTCCCAAACAAACTCATTTGAAGCAGACTGCACCTCTAATCCCATTCCAAGTGTATGATGGAGGCTGCAGCTCCAGACGGCTTCATGTAAATACAGCTAATCAGGTTATTGTGCCTGTGAACATTCCTCTGATTTCCTGCCATAACCTGGTTTACATTTTTTTATATAGCTCTGCCTCCTTCTGCTCACCGCGGACGACTCGCAGAAAACACCAGGAGCGTTTTCATTTGATTTAGCAAAGGAATAGATCATAATAAACTCGGGCTAACTTTGAAGAATAAATAACTCAACAATTCACTGTAATTAAATGAAAAGCAGTGTGAGCTGGACTTTCAAATTACTTTCTAGCGGAGGCAGATACACCGAAAACTTGTTGCATAATTAGAATACTGAGTACATTGTAATAAGAAAACATTCCCAGTATCAAATTTGCAGTGTAATATTAAAAGCGGTTTACCTAGGGATGGGAAAAGATCTCGTGCCACAAGATCTCGAAATTGCCACGAGATGTTTTTACGTTTGGATTGGATAAAAAGTGATGGCGAGATGCATTTTTTTGAGTCACAAAAAGCAATGCTACAGCAAAAATATTAAATAAAGTAAAATAAAAAAACAGTGAGAATAAAATTGTGAACTTGATTGCACAATTTGTCAAAATCTCATCTTGTCTCGTTCTTGAAAATACAACTTAGTGTCTCGTCTTGTGCAAATTGTATCTTATCCCAACCCTTATTCCGACATACCACAGACCCCCTCCCTGACATTCCATCATTCCGACAACAGTCCATTCTGACACTTTTTGATGCCGCCATTCCGACACCTTTTATGTCGCCATTTTGATAACCTACTCATAGTCTGGAGCGTCACCTTTTTTGCCATATATACGCAGCGTGGACTGCGCCTCCATCCGTACGCCGCGTGGACTGTGTATTCTCACGTACGCTGTGTGGGCCGCACTTCCTCCTGTATGCTGCGTGGACAGTGTATTGTCGCGTACGCAGCGTGGGCCGCGCCTCCTACCATACGCCATGTGTATGGTGGATTCTCTCGTATGCTGTGTGGACTTCGCCTCCTCCCATATGCTGCGTGGACTGTGTATTCTCACGTACGCTGTGTGGGCCGCACGTCCTCCCGTACGCTGCGTGGACTGTGTGTTCTCGTGTACGCAGCACAGGCCGTGCCTCCTCCCATACTCCATGTGGACTGTGTATTTTTGCGTACACTGCGTGGGCCACACCTCCTCCCGTACACCAAGTGAAAATATTGTCTCAAAAAGAGCACCGCCGCAACTTAATAATTACCTTGTGTGTCGGAATGGCGGAATGTTGAAAATAAAGTGCCACCACCAAAAATGTTGGAGTGAAGGGACGTTTGATAAAAATTGGAAATGCCAATCATTAGACGGAGTGGCGGTATGTCAGAATGGCAGCATGTAACCCTCATCCCACCCCTAAATGTACTTGATTTTTACTGTGGAAAACATGGAAAAACTAAATTTGTTCGTTTTAAACAGTTTCCAGCTGTCCAAAGTTATTCCTCACTTACCTTATGCATTCTGAGCAATCTAGTTATTCACCCGGATGAGTTTTTAAGCACTTTTCACAACTTGTTCTTTTTGTTGCGATGGCTAAACACCAACTATTATGCTAACACACATTTCCTGGTTACCGGGCAATAAAATGCTTCATAATCAGACCTGTCGCGATGACAAATTTTGAGGTTTGATATATTGCTGAAGTAAATACAGATAACGGATAATAACCCAAGAGCCAAAAAACCCAAGATTCCCAAAAAATATTGTTCCACCTTTCATATATTAAATGGTAAGTCAATATAGTAATTATTAAGACACGCCTAGACACATTTTGCTCAAATACATGTGAAAAATGTGGGTAGAATTCAAAGATATTACTCAATATTTCGGAACTTTTGCAATTAATTTGACTATTCTTATTTTTGCAATACTTTTGACAAAAAAACACAACACATCCCATTCACGTTTTAGCACATATTTGGCGGGTTGTTTATGGGTAGATTGAAAATGTAAGAGTGCAAAAATTAGGGATACTTGGGATTATAGCCTTTATAAGACCAAAACATGACATTTAGAGTGATGTAATACCAGTAGCTTCCTTACATTTGTTCCACCTCCATCTGGTCTCCACGGTAACACGACCTGAGCATCATCTGCCTCTCGGGGTCCCACAGGTGCTGCTTCAGGAAGTTCCCGGCCTGCACCGCTCTCTCCAGCAGGTCCTTGTCCCTCAGAACTGATCCCACCCGAGCATAAGCTGAAAGCATTAGACCTGGGGAACAAAAGACAGATATTGTCTATGAAGAATACCATTTAAATCACTCATATTTTACTTAATTCAAGAGACAGTTTTGGTATCACTACAGGGAGCCTAACTACTACATGAAATAAAAGGTGCAATGTGTAACTTTTCTTGTGGAGGATCTGTCACCTGCTTGTTTCCATAGTTTTATTATTGTTACGTTAAGTTTTTGTGGATTTATTCATTTGCATTTCATTTTTATGACAAAAATTCAGCATCTTTTCTCCATTGAAACAGATCTACTTAATGACATACTGTAGAACATTCCGGGAAAAGCAATTAAATCTCCATGGAGACGAGTAAAAATGTTACACAGTGAACCTCTGAAACTACAAAATATAACAACAAACAACTATAGATGATTAAAATATTATGAATCTCACAAAACCGAATGTACACAAGGTAAATAGGCAAAGGAAACAAAACAACATTATACACGCGGTTTAAAGTAATAACATAAAAATTACAATGACACCATTTTTTAATTGTCCAGGCATCAGGAAGTGCACTGTTATCATGCTAGTTGTTGTTCTCATCGCAGTGAATGATTAGGATGCTGCGGATGAATTATTTGTTATCTGTCATCCTGTTTCCTCATCGTAAACATAGCTGACGTTGTGTTTTATTTATGCAGGTTTAGGCTTGAGTTCTTCTCTCAAACAGGAAATCTTGACCACCTTGGGATGTCATGTGGTAATATAGGAAGTGCTTAAACTTCACCTTCACTTGAATCATTTAGATCTTTTTCCTCCGGTAAGCTACCTTTACAAAAAGAAAATGCCAGAGAGCTACTAGTTTTAGCAATCACAAGAAACTGAGTAAATGTAAGAGCCACGGCGAGTCTTAGATGAAGTACAGTTAGATGGCTATGCAACGTACAATAAACTATTATCCATTTAGTAGTGTACAATGTTAACCATCAAAGTGATACATGCACAGTGGTAATAGGCATTTAATTGTAATTCAGAAATCCCTTGGCGAGCGACTTGGAAGGAGCTGGAGAGTTACTGGTAGCTCTAAAGCGACAAGTTGGAGACATCTGATTTAGGTTACGTTCAGATTGCAGGGTTTAATACTCAATGCTCAATTTTTTTGCGAGGTCATTCACATTTCCAATTAAATGCAACTTGTATGCGATCTCCACTGTGAACTTTAAACGCCCCAAAAGTGTCCCACATGTGCACTGGAGGACACGACGACGTCACACACAGCGAGCGTGCCCAGTGTTTACGGAAGTCGCCTAAACGCTGGGCTTGTCTCCCAAAATGCAGTCCAGTTCTTCGTAAAATGGACAGGTTACACGTCCACGGCCGCTTCCTTTGTTTGAGTCTTTAGCCTCCATGTATTTGGCTCACAAGCTCTTTATTTTTCGTTGACATCAGAGCCAGACCGACTGTAGCCACGCTCGGCCCTTTCTTTGGTAATCATTTAAAAAAACACCCTGTTCTGATGAGACCACTCCAATTTGGTCTGAATACAGCGAACCCCCCAAATATTAATAAACTTGATAACCTCACTTTCCCTCCGTTAACTAGACTCTGAACCTGTAGGTGTAGGTGGGATGAATATGACCTGGCCGTTCAGATTGAAGTCGCATGTCAAAAGGTTGGATATGTATCAGTTTTAGGAGCACATACCCAAGTGGCCTGAGACGCATTTGAAAAAATTTTGATCTCTGTCGTTCATACTGTTATTAAAAGATTAGATACAGGTCACATAGGGGCAAAAAAATTGGATTTGGGTCACTTCAGGCTGCAGTCTGAACGTAGCCTTTGATGATTTCAGACCTGGAATTACCAATCTCTACTGAACTAAAGGGAAAAAGGAGCTGTTACCTTGAAAACTACTGCTTCATGACATCACAAGGTGAAACAGCATTTTAAGCTTTGGAGATGCAGACAGAGTAATAATAAAGCATTACTTAAACATGTGTGAATGAAACAAAAGACAACTTGAAGCATGTTTTTGATGGAGAAACATTATAACATTGTTTAAATGTGCACGGTGTAACTTTTCTGGAGGAAGGTCAGTCAAATGTTTCACAGATGTTTCGCATTAAACCTTTCTATCTTCTTGGAGACCGACAGTACAGGTAAAATCTGTGGAGAGGCAAGCCTGCTCACAGTCAGAATGCCTGTTTTTCTAGGTATTTTTGAGCTAGAAAACCACTTGTAATTTAATAAATGTAAAGTAGAGCTGTTTAATGTCATACCTTGGAACATTTCAGATAGAGCAATGACGTATCCATAGAAACAAGCACAAACAGAAAAGTTACGCAATGCACCTTTAAAACTCACAAGAATCAATTTTGTGTAACAGAAAATCTTTAAGTAAAACCCGACATATACTATCCTGAAAGCTAAAAAAGTGAACTTATTTCTCTACTAAAGGCCCAGACCATCCTCCCTCCTTGTTCTCTTCGTTCCCTCTGGTCCTCTTTCAAGTCCTGTATCAAAGACTCACACTCGCAGGGTGGTTTTTCAAAGTGGCACAGCGGAGGATAGGTGATTAACACAGGGTTCCTTCATTACGGCGATGAAGGGAGATCTCACAACTCCTCAATTTGCCACCGTCTCCCATTACCTCGCGTAGCCCGCACCGCGAGCCCCAAGAGTGGATTTCACTGTCATTAGCCACATCTGAGCTAATGACACAGACAAACAATGAGGTAAAAATAGTCTAAAAGTACTGCGTTTGCTTCCTCTGCACTTCTAAAGAGGAGAATAAAAACTTTGGTAGCATATTCAGGGTCGGAAACAAAGAAGTGAAGAAGTTTCGGATCACTTTTTAGACTAGTGAACCAAAATAAATATAAGAAAGCAGTGCTAGATGATTCTGTAGTGTGCTTTGAAACATGTTTTGCTGGTAAACTAATGGTTGTACTGACCTCTTGTGGTGGAGTTTCAGAATGTCTTAAAGTGTTTACATTTTACCCACATCTATTTAATTTTGCAGTATGTTGTTAGAGAGAGAGTGTGTTACCTGCTTGACTCGATGGAAAATTACATACTGCATCTTTAAACAGTGCGATCCGAGATATATAACTACTTCTTGCATGTAACAGAAGATTTACTGATATTAAAATTTGCCTAAGAAAGACCTTAAAGCTCCAGTGGGCACATTTAAGCCAAAAAATTTGACTTTGGATGTTTTAACTGCACTAAAAAACAACACACAGTACAGCGAGGATAGTGTTCTTGTGCTTGTTTCCATGGAAATGTTGTTCATAGTATGGAAAATGGGTTGAGAATATGGTTTTAACGTTCTATTTTCACCGAATTATGTTGGTGAAAGTTGCTTTTAAAGCTGTAACGTTGTGTGGATTATTATTTTACATTTTTATTTCATTATTAATTGCCTTGTTGATCTAAAATAGCTTAAACTGGTATAGATTTCCATAGAAAATCTGATTTGTGGTATTTTTTAATTGTTCACTACTGGTCAAAAGTTTTAAAACACCCTAATTTTCCAGTTATTTATTGCAATTCAAGTCATGCAAGTCCAATGAAGAGCTTGAAATGGAACAAAGGGAAGAACTGAGCAGCCAGAGGTTAAAAAACAGATAAAAGAACAAAACACAAGTCCAAGCTCTGCCAAAACTACCTCCGGAAAAAAGAACAAGATGGAGAGCTTGAAAACATGGAGTGTTCAGCACAGTCTCCAGAGTTAAACCCCATCGAGCTGGTTTGGGATGAACTGGACAGAAGAGTGAAAGCCAAGTTACCTACAAGTGCTACACATTTATGGGAACCTTCTGAAAAATATTTGATTTCTGTTGTAAAAAAAAAAAAAAGAACAAGCCGCGAGTGTGAGCTGTTATATCAGCCAAAGGTGGATGCTTTCATGAATCAAAAGTTTAAAATATGTTTTAGTCAACAGTAAACAGTAAAGAGTAAAACACTGGAAAAATGTGGTGTTCTAAAACTTTTGACGGTAGTGTATGTGCACGAATATGACTTTTTTTTTTTTCTCCACTCCAAAAAATCACAAGTAAATACAAAGCAGTGGACAGGGATTGGGGGTAGGTGAAAATACTGCTCTGATCGAGGGAACAATGTTATAGCATGTTTAAAAGCTTATCACAATATTTCCCCTTTAAAATGGGACTGAACACTAAATCAACTTTTGTGTGTATGGTGTTTTAATGTTGTCCTATGTCCCTAGTCCTTTTTGGCCATTTTAGTCCAAACTTAAGTGTATTAATAGCTCAAAAACAGTGGTTACTGTAATTTCAAGTACTACGTGACATCATGCAGGACTGCTCTGATTATAACCATGCATTTCTGATTACAAACACTCCTCCAGACCCCAACCCCTCCTCCCCCCTCATCACTCTCCCCTTTAGTCCTCCAGATCCCACCTCTCCTCCCCCCTCATCACTCTCCCCTTTAGTCCTTTAGACCCCACCTCTCCTCCCCCCTCATCACTCTCCCCTTTAGTCCTCCAGACCCTACCCCTCCTCCTGCCGATAAAAGGGGCTTTGGATGTGCCGATATAAGATATATTCAGTGATGTAAAAATTCACTGTGACTCTTTAACTGACTATAAAACTTAAGTCTGACTTTATTCGCTTTTAAGTAGGGCTTTTTAAGGCAACATTTACTGTTATTTTGCCTTTTTACAGTCATATTTAAAGACAGTAGGTAGGCAGTAGGATGGCGTTTTTGCATGACACTGTAGCCTGTCAACAAAGTAAGTACACTACCCCTTAGCCTAAATGCATGTGTGCAGCGGTAATTAATCATATGTGTAAATATGGACGATTCACATCTCGATTCACAGCTCATTTACATATCAATGCAGGTCTATTAATGTGTATACAGCCACTATAGCCACTTTATGAGTTCAGTTTAAGTACACTTTAAGTTACACAAGTTAAAACATGACCAGCGGCCGATGAGAGCCAAGAGACCAGTCCTCATTCGAACTATCTTGAACAAACTATTATAAACGATGGCGCTGCTCTGAGACATAGGGGCAGAGCCAGCAGAGGGCAGTTTATTATCAGGAGGACCGTGGCACTACACTCTTTATACTGCTGATGAAAACAGCTCTAATCTGTGGAGAATAGCTTAGTGAAAAGGCCAACTACACACAAGCACATTAAGGATTCATTACGTAGGCGTAGAGCCACAGGAGAGCAGTGCTGAGTGATACTGGCCCAGGAATGTAAACCTCAAAAAAAGAGTTTAATGTCCGTCTTATGCAAATACAGGAAGTATGGGGTCACTACAGCAACACAGCAATTCTAATAAAACGATAAAGATTCATGATAGTTCTTGATTGTTAGTGGGTAGAGTTAGTACCAAAATTACAACAGCTAGCATGCTAATCCACATTTCCTGATTAGTGGGCAATAAAATGCTTCATAGTTAGATGCAGATAGCACACAGCGAGCTTATTTTGACCTCGAGCTGCTTATACAAAATATCTGTACTGGAGCAAGACACATTTTGTTCAAATACCTGGGAAAATATCTGGTGCATTCATATTACATTGATATAGTACATAAACGGGTTATTTATACTGGCAGGAAGGTTTCACAGTAGGCATTACACTTATCTTACTTGCACGTGTTCTTAGTGCTCAAAAATAGCTTGAAACCTTGAAATTCCTTAAAAAACAGCAGTTCTAACTAATGTATTTTTCGGACTATAAGTTGCTCCAGAGTTTAAGTCGCACCAGCCAAAAAATGCGTAATTAAGTAGAAAAGAACATATTTAAGTCACACTGGACTATAAGTTGCACTTTTTGGGGGAAATTTATTTTATAAAATCAGAGAGCAGGAACCAACATTTCATCTTGAAAGTCAAGTTCTAGTAAAAACAATAGAACAGAGAACAGACTGTTAACATCACATATGAACAATTCTTCAGATAACTATAGCATAACCAACAGAACAGAAAAAAGTTTACCAAACTCTCCATCTCACTCCAAATCACTAAATCCATTGATTTCTTCGGTGTCACTTCTAAGTAATTCCACGACCTCTGGAGGTAAACGGATCCATCCAGTGACTTCCAGGAAAGTTGCATGGTGCACCCTCCCAATGTCAGAAGTTTCTTTCTGTTGCTCGATTACTGTTTTCAGCTGCATATTTCACTACTTGCAGCTTGAAATCGGCAAAATATGATTTTCTTTTTGGGGGCATTTGTGTTCTGTCTTCTCAGTCGTCTTAATAAGTTTGTTAATTTTCAGTGGTACAGAAGTAATGGTGCAATCGACTGACATACAGAGAGGACAGGGTCTCTTTCTGCAGGACACGTACGCAGTAGAATCCGAACTGACAAAGCAGATACTGGCACACAAGCCTAGCGCCTCTCGCGGCTATCAGTGTGAAAATGTTATTATATAAGTCACCCCGGACTATAAGTCGCAGGACCACCCAAACCATGAAAAAAAGTGCAACATATAGTCCGAAAAATACGGTAACTAAGTAGGTGCTGGTGCCCCTTTGTGCATTATCCTCAGTGTATTTTCCTTAATTATTATGCTTTTGCTGTGTGGCTGGTCATGCACTATAAATAGGCCACTTATCCATGCCATACTCTCTTGTGGACGAGAAGACATATCTCCAAAATTCTCGTATCATTCAGAATAAAATACTGTATATACCGTCTTTTACCTGAGCTAAGTAATAAGTTTGGTGCTTTGATTGTTGATTCAGCAAAAAATACACGCTGTGTCTCAGTCCTTTATGGTGTTTTTTTTCCCCTTTTTACATGTAAGCAGCCGTGTCTGTCTGTGTCTGTCTGATTGTTACTCAAGCCCTCTGAGATCAGGGAGGCAGGATACAGGTCCAGATCAACTTGTATTTCTAAAGTTTTGTCAAAGTGTGTGGTTCTGACTAGACATGTATTAGGTTAGTGATGTCAGCACCAGTTCCTTCAGCCCTGTACTGGGTTGGTCCGGTGCTGAATTCTTTTGTTCTAATTGGCTTGCTTTTTTTTTATTTAAAAGTAAACTACTCTTATTTAATGTGATATTGAGAGAAAATGAAATAGCTCTGAGGCCTCAGGCATTAGTGGCATGGAGGGCAATTGGTTGTGCGCCCCTCCAGATTCGGGGACCCGAGGCAGCCGCCTACTGTTGTCTAATGGTAGCACCGCCTTTGGGCCAGCTCATCAGGTCCACTTTTCTGTTGTTTTTGGCCACAGAAGGGGATTTGTGCATTTTATAGTACATTAAAACTCACTTAAAAGTAATGTTGTAACCCCTTTGACTCCTGTCCTCTTTAATACTGTATGTTTGGTCCAGCTGGGTCATAACATCCATACTGTGAAACATTCCAGACAATACTAATCACATTCATTGTCCATCAAAACAAGCGGCTGGCAGAGTCCACCAGAAAAGTTACTTAGTGCACTTGCCAAATCTCCCTTCTTGGAACAACACAATCTCAAATGTGTGCATTACCATTCCAGGAGGCCAGCATCTTCGTGTCCAGGTGTGGGCGCGGCCTGCTCTTCCTCACATCCGCCATCTTGGCCCGGGCCGTGGCCAGGAGCTCGTTGAGTCTCTTGACGCTGACGCCGAAGTGGGCGGCCGTCAGCTCCTGCGAGTAGCGCACGATCAGCACGTTCTGTCCCCGCAGCTCGTCGTGGGGGTCCTGGAGAGACGCCGCACAGGGAAATGAGGACAGGGGGACGAGGGGAGACGAGGGAGGAAGAGGGGAGATGAGGTGGGACTACAACAGCTGTCATATTAGCCTTTTAATGAGAGCGCTTCACACAACTTTAAACACCGGGATGGGTAATTTAACACGTCAAATTAAAAATGAAACTCGCTGGGGTTTCATTTGAAAAAGTGCAATACTTTTCAATCACGCCATTTTTTATTTTATTTTCACTTCTATGGGGCATTAACTGCTTGCACATCACATATTTAGATAACCATGCTACCTTTTATTGTTTTGAAAATTGTATATTTGCCGAAAAACAACTCATTAACATGTTTGATATGTTTCAGTTTCGCTTTTTGATTCTCTGTGTCTCCACTCCCTTTGCTTTCTGTGCCCCCTTCAGAGCGCTGTCACAACACAATCAGCGTGCATCCCACTAATGAACTACCGCACATCACATCAGGTTTGTCAAGTCGTAGTGTATTCTTTTGTATCATGCTTCAAAGTCAACCTCAAGAAAAAAAAACTAAATGGATTCAAGCAGCACATTTTCAGGAGCCTGTGATCAGCACAAGCGTTCATGGTTCTGTTCAGGTGTTCGATTTTCGACATAAAGGGAGAGTAGATAAACATTTGACTACTTCTAATTAGTGACTATAATTTTAATTGAGAAGGACTTGTTTGACAGCACAAATCAACTCAATTGTTGTAATTCCAGCTCAGTTCTTTCCGGTCAGATTGCAGATTCCAACAAATTTCAGATTGAAGTATAACTTGAGAAACAAACTCACCTCTGTGGTTCAATATCTATTCTACACATTAAAGGTCCCATATTACAGAAAATAGACTCTTATGAGCTTAAGAACATGTTATAATCTTGTTACCTCATCAAAAACAGACCTGGAGTTGTGTTTTGTTTCACCACAGGTATTATTAGTCTGTCTACATCTCCAAAGCTCAAAAGGCTACATTCAGACTGCAGATCTTAATGCTCAATTCTGATTTTTTTGTGAAATTGGATTTTTTTTGCGAGGTTGTTCACATTTCCAATTAAATATGACTTGTTTTTGATCTCCAGTGTGAACTTAAATGCCCCAAAAGTGTCCCGAACGTGCATTGGAGGACACGACGACGTCACACACAGCGAGCATTGAACACTTGGAGATTTTAAAGTTGCTGTCGCACCGGAGCCAGAACATGTACAGCTTATTTGCTTTACAGAGGAGATTGAGAAGGATGAGGTTTTTGGCCATGGCGTTTTGTGGGGCAGAGCCAAGACTGGTGGGATTGTTATGTTCTTCACTGCTTCACTCCCACAGAGTTCAAACACAATTTTCGTATGACATTTTTGACATGTAGGTGGGATGAATGTGACCTGACCGTTCAGACTGAAATCTCATGTCAAAAGATCGGATATGTATCGGTTTTAGGAGCAAATATCCAAGTGACCTGGGACGCATTTGAAAAAAATCTGATCTGTGTCATTTAGACTGTCATTAAAAGATCAGATACAGGTCGCATAGGGGCATAAAAATCAGATTTGGGTCACTTCAGGCTGCAGTCTGAACACAGCCATAGTTTTCAAATTGACAGTTACCATTGAGTTTTAGTTCAGTAGAGATTGGCAATTCCAGGGCTTAAATTATCCAAATGATTCTACTGAAGGTGTATGGAGTTTAAAAATACAATGGAACATATCCTGTATCACCACAGGACATCATATGAACAGGGTGTTTTCAGTTTGATTGAAGAACTCAGCGTAAATATGCAGGGTTTGTGTGTTAAACGTGTGAATGAAACAAAACACAACTCCAGGTCTGTGTGTGATGAGGAAACAACATTATAACAGATCAGAAAATACAGTAATATGAGCCTTAGTTTCCAGGAGACCCCTGTGACAGGATGAAATATGACCTACCTGTTCTGGTGCGACATTCCCTTGTTCTTTGACCCCGTAGTGGTGCATGAAGATGTCTGCTAGTGACGCAGATCCGGTAGCGCCCTCCACCACCTCAGACAGCAGCTCCCGCACCTCGGAGGCGCTCCAGACGCAGAAGGCCCCCTCGCGCTTCTCCGCTCCCCCCGACACCGGGACAGAGTCTGCATCCTCCGCGCTGTAGAAGCCCCCAGACTGGGAATATCGCAGTGCTTTAGTTAGAGCAAGTAGAGCACTGTTATTTTAAAAGGTCAGCATGTATTATTCAGCTATGAAAAGTACTTAAGGACACATTTATATTCATATTTAAGGATGCATTATGAAACTTTTGGGGTGGGGATTCTGTCTGGTATCTGCTTGACTCAATTGAGATGGTTATTTTTTGCATGGAATGTTTCACAGTATGGTATTAAACTTAAAGCTCACCTTTATTCAATGGTAGGAATTTTTATAACTGAAAAATGCCTTAGTAAACTTGCATTCTCACTGTGAGTGGGGCTGCCTCTCCAAAGATCTGACCTGTAACTATCTGGTAGTGTCAACAGTTTGTCTCAGCTTTCGAGGCAAAGCACCTTTATGTAGACATGCAGGCGGCAGTTACTAACACTATTTAGTTATTTACCGTATGTCACAGTTGCTTACTGTTTTAAAAAAGGTAATAACAACTAGGGCTGGGTATCATTAAGAAGTTACCGATACTTCATATGTGTGAAAAATCCCTCAATCGTCCAGAACTGAAGAAGCAGCTTGGATGGGCTGCGAAACATATTCGACCAAATAAACTTCGTCCAGTTGACCAATATGATACGTTATATATGATATATTTTTTGATACAGTGCACTTTCAGTTCAACTATACGATATAAATACAATATATTTCAAATCAATTCAATACAGTTCAGTGAAAAACAAAGGCTAAATCATGGCTGTGACACTACAAGTCTACTAAGTCTGCAAAGTCCAGTTTAATATGAAAAACACCCATTTTACTCATCAAAACCGTGAATATGTCAACACAATTGTAGCTCTCATGCAAAATAATGTAGTAAAAAGCCCACAATATCAATACTGTATCATCAAATTAAACGATAAGAAATATTGATATTTCAATATTTTTGCACACCCCTGATAACAACTAAACCTGTGTTTTAGTGCTTTAACCTGCATTTAGAGGACACATCCAAGTTTGTCTCATCGTCAGTATATGGACAGAACAGGCCTCATGTGAAGCTCAGAACCTCCAGAATTCCCTCTCTGAGCTGCAGAGGCTGCACTTAAGTCATGATTGGCTGTGGGTGTTGGGTTTAGGTAGACCTGGTCTGACCATTCAGAGTCAGATCAGAGAGAGGCATTTTAGGTTTAAACACACTGGATTTGAGCATTGAATCTGGCAACTCAAATGAGACTCGTAAGGCTCAAATCTACTTTCTGATTGAATACTTATTAGTTATAAATGGTTCATTATGCCCAGTGTTTTTGTAGTTAAGAATAAATCAACATAAGAATTGTCATAAGTGAAAGCTATATTTGATTTGTACATGTTTACTTTGTATCTTACCGTCATATTTCTACAACAACAACAAGCAACTGCTCGGCAACATGGTGGAGGTAATTAGTGCAGCAAAATGATCATGAGACTGGTAAAGGAAACGAATTCTTAAATGTGCGTATTATCAAAACATGCGTGAATGAAACAAAACTCATATTTTGCATAATACCTAAAAGATTTTGTCAAAATGATTATTATATATACCACGGAAAGCATCTCCATGGAGACAAACAATTTAATAAATGTGGGCGGAGCTAAAAAAATTAAATAAAAAGGGGTTATAAGGGGTTAATAATAAGGGCTTGTTATAGATATAGATTATAGATATGTAGTGTATGCATCTTCGTCATTCACTCCATATATGTATCAAAATAAACTAAAAGCACACTTAATTAGCTTAATAGATTTATCTGTCAATTATATTCATTTTTACACCCAGTTAATTCCTTTGCTCTATTAATTCACAATCAGGATAATTGCATAATACATCTTGTCCTAGATTATATAATGACTACAAGTGTGTTTCTGTAATGATGTGTGCTGTTGTGTGCACTGGGCCCATCCATCAGAGGAGGGAAAGGGGTCGTGTAGGGTGAGATGAGCAAGTGCAGGAGCTGAGGAGGCACTACATCAACTGGGTCTCAGTCCGGCAGATGCACACCAGTGGAGCCCCCTTGAAACTGGATACCAGTCTCTAGGGGGCTCCAGAGCACGTGGACCCGTAATACTCAATCATGTCACTGGGGATTAGTCAAGGTTTCCCACCACAGGTAATATGTGGTGAACGTATACATACTTTTCTCACCGATTAGTTTAAATCTTCAATACCCAAATAGTTTTTCTTTTATATGAGTATTGCAAAAGCAAATTGAAATCTGTCAACTGAGCAAATGTTTTAAGACTGAATATGTTTTGCCTTTTATCAGAGTAGTTTCTGTTCTGTTTTGTTCTGTTCTGTAAACCACTGCATTATCCTAAGGTGTGACCTGTTGCTTGTAATTAAACACTGCTGCTTTTTTTTTTTTTTTTTTTTAAGATTGTTGACTATACTCAAGAAAAAATACTAAATGGAACAGAAGTTCAGGAGCCTGCAATCAATAAGTCAATCTATCAAGGAGTTAGATTTTCCAAAAAAACAAGCTTGTAAGTGTAATGTTATCCAAGAGGGGGACTTTAACAGCACAAAATCAGCAGCTCACCTGTTGTAATTCCAACTAAGTTAGTTCTTTACTGTAAGATAGTGTTAAAACAATACTCAAATTAAGGTCTAACAGCCATACCTCCTTGTCAAAGTCTGATCCTGTCAGATCTTAGAAGCTCAGCAAGGCCAGGCCTGGTTAGTACTTGGATGGGAGACCACTGGGAAAATCAGGTGCCACAGTGGGGCGCCAGTCATTGTGTCCTTAGGCAAGGCATTTCACCCACATTGCCTAGTATGAAAGTAGTGTGCGTGTGTGAGTGATGGTGGTGGTCGGAGGGACCGATGGTACAGATTGGAAGCCTCGCTTCCGCCAGTGCGCCCCAGGGCAGCTGTGGCTACAATAGTAGCTTACCACCACCGGGTATGGAGTGAATGAATAATGCTCTGTAAAGCATCTTTGAGTTTCCAGGAAAGCACTATATAAAACTGATGCGTTATTATTCTTAGCTGAAAGCTGCAAAGTGTCAATACCTGCCATTACAATGAGGTCTGAAGTTTTTGCTTTTTGTAATTTGATGGATTCAGAACTATAGACTGTATATAAAAAATACTTCTGAACAGGAAATGAGCATGGACTCAAAGTGGTTCCTTCAAGCTCTGGCAGCAATTGACTTGGCAGCAAAAATCCTCACCTCTCTCTCTAAAACTAGTCCCAGGCTTGTCATTTTGGTCTTAATGTTTGTATTAACTCACTCTACATGGTCCTGGGGTTTTTAAATGATATGAACATTAATAACAAACCAATCCAGAGCCTGTTTTCCTCTGAGGTATTCTCTATAATAAAACTGGATAAGGCATTCCCCATATATAGATATAAGTGTGTTACCTTATCACTCAGGTCCCTGGAGACGTACTGGAGTATGTCCCGGGCCACATCTGCGAAGAAGGGCTCTCCTGAAACCTGGGGGAGCACACAGACACCTGCTCACAGTCAGGCCCCTACAATATGAAGTACAGTGTGAGGCTGTGGCTGCTGAGCTTGCTCCGCTGGCTAATTAGACTCCGGTGCGTACATGTGGGGATGGCCTCATTAACTTGTGTTACGTATGCGCTGTCCACTCGGAAAACAGGTCAGCTCAGCAGGCGTCCATGAGGAAAGTGAAGTCTAAATGAAGTGAGCCAAATGTAGGTGTTTGGAATGTAGAGGCATGTTTAGTAATCTCCTAAAGATGTCACCAATTGAGTTATATAAGTATGTGTATTTTGACCAAGATATTTGAGGTTTCTGGCACTCTAAAAATTGGATGCTAAATAGTAATTTCAATAGTTCTCAGATCAATTTTGTACTTGCATATAAATAAGTTCATATTGTGTTTCATGTTATTGTACCAGGACATTTGCAGCGAGTTTATGTGCATCTTGTTAAAGGTGCACTGTATAACTTTTTTGGTGTAGGATCAGTCAAATGCGTTTTTGCGATAATCTGGCATATTTACACTGCAATGTCATAGATGTTCATTAATATGCACTGTCCCTATTAAATAAATAAATAAATAGAATTGATTGGCTATTTAATTTATAGAATTAAAAAACATGTATTTAATGTATTTATTTATCGATCCAGGAAAGTCCCATTGAGATTACTGATCTCTCACTTTAGTTATTCTTGATGCAAATAGAGAGTCTTTACTCTGCTGGGAGTCCCTCGTCATCCCAAACTATTTCTACGGGAGCCACTGCAGCCTCATAACAGGGCCGATGTTATTATAAACTATTGTATCAGTTGTCCAACTTCTACTAATCTGATCTATTATTTGAACGAATTTTGACGATCAAAATTGCTGGGTTTCAGATGGCATCACAACATTCTATATTCCTGTTTTATTGAATACAGATGGGGGACAGCCAAAATTAATATTGTTAAAATGCTAATTTATGTTGTAATATAGTAAGTTCTTGGGTTTAGACAATAAGAGAAAATACCAGGTTCAACCTTTGTAAATTTACCTTTTGGATCTATCATGAAAAGTACAATGTAATCAATAGGGAAAACTGGCCCTTGCCGCCTTCTGAGAATATGGCATGATCACATTATAAAATCTGAAAAACAACAATACAGTGAAATAATATTTCTATAATGATTGCCAAATTTCACTTCTTATTGTTCAATAATTATATAAACATACGTCTAATATGTTCCTAGAATAGTTACAGTATAGGCAAAACGTATCTTGTATATAACTAGAACATATCTTTATTGGGTAACATCTTGTGTACCTAAACTTTAAATGTAAAGTTTCTCCTATTTCATCAGTGCATTCAAAAGTTAGAGTGAGCCAAAAATGAGACTGACTTTTCAAATTAATCGAAATGACTGACTCTTCAAGTGCATATGACAGGTCTTGAACATTCTCAAATTTTCCCTAATTTACATTTAATGCGGTGCTAAAATACCTGTTGTAAACATAAATTATAGTTTTACACCAACCGAGAAGCAATTTGTGACGAAAAATTAAAAAATACGTTGAAAATCACAGGAAGTAGAGTAGTAGAGTCCCATACTGACAACATCACACTAGGGAGAATTCTGTCCAAAAACGTAGGCACAATTTATACTTTAAACATGATTTCAACAAAATAAACATGTTTTCTTATAGTTTTATTTGTGGAATAATATATCTGTGTGCATTAGGGGAGTTTTGGCCTACTCTACATCCCGGTTGCTAGGTGGAATTCCATAGTGTGATGTCACCAAGTAAAATTTTAAACCTAAAAAATAAATAGAAAAATTAAAAAATAAAATAAAATAAATGTTTCTGTAGCTCACAATGCTGTCTTTTTGCCGACTGAATAAAGAGGAGACAGAGAGGAGTATAGTTGAGCAGACAGACCTGAGAGGCAGTGATGTAAGCCACAGCTAACTGAGCCTGGTCATACAGCATCTTCTCAAAGTGAGGAACGTGCCAGGACGAGTCTGTGGAGTAACGATGGAAACCCTGACAACACACAACATCACAATTAGAAGACAAGTGGACTAATCAAGCCTTATTATCACAACTAGGGGTTATTTATGACTTTTAGTAGTATTTTTAAGAAAGTGGACTTTATTGGAGACATACATCGTTTTACAAATACTATATAATATTAAAAAAAAAACACACACACACATTTAAGGGCTCATATTACTCTGTTTTCTGATCTATGTTCTAATGTTGTTTTCTCATCACAAACAGACCTGGAATTGTGTTTTGTTTCATTCACGCATGTTTAACACACAAACCCTGCACATTTAGGCTGAGTTCTTCTCTCAAACTGAAAACACTCCACTCGTCCACTGTGTTTTTAAACTCCATACACCTTCACTAGAATCATTTGGATAATTTCAGACCTGGAATTTCCAATCTTGACTGATCAAAATGTAAAAGGAGCTGTTAACTTGAAAAGTATCACTTCATGACATCACAAGGTGACAAACTAATCTAAAACTGGAACAGGACCAAACCAAAGCTGTGTCTGAGTGTCCATCCTAGCCCCTAACCCCTAATTCGCGACATAGGTGGACTATATATAGTTCATTCATATACAGAGAGATTCCGACACATAAATAATATACGAATAATCATGTAATTGGACTGACACACAAGTGGATAAAATGGACTAATAATAATCATACAAGTTTTTGTCATCTGGATTTCACCTAAACAGACTGGATTATTTGATTTTTGTCTGAGAAGTGGAAATGATCACTCGAGCACAACTGGAGCTATGGTAACAAGCTAACCCCTTCACACATTTTATTTAAAAGGAGCATTGCATAACTTTTCTGATGGAGGGTCCATCAAATGTGTTTCTCTGTGAACATGTCTTTCTTTGTCAGGAATGTTTCACAGTATGGTATTAAACCTTATCTTCATGGAGACTAAACCTTTTGCGCTATAAAACCACCTGTAATTGAATAAATGTAAAGTAGAGCTGTTTAACGTCATACTGTGGAACATTCCAGGCAGAGCAATAAAACAATCCATGGAAACAAGCAGGTGATGGACAAAAAAGCTAACCTTTAAGAGTGTTTTATCAGGATCAGAGCCATAAACCTGGCCACAAACGCATTAATGTCTGCTGCTGTTTTCCCGACTTTCCCAAAGCATTGTGGTCTATATTGATCGGTCTAGGGACCATCCATGCCCACTACTTTTCAAGATGCACTGTGGGAAATTTTGCCTGCACCAACTGTACAACATGGAAAAATTATGGATGGGGCAAGACACAATTTCCACAAAACAAGATGAGATTTTGAAATAATTCCTAATAAATTTCACAATTCAGTTTCCAATTTTGGCCTCACAATTTTTCATTTATTTGATTTCATAGTTTTGTTTCCATTCAAGTAACATTTTTTGGAACTGTAAGACATGTAACTTACCAACACATATACCTTTTTGTCCAATTTGTAGTATAACAAATGTAAGCACATGGGAAAAAATCTCACAAGATAAGTTTTCTCTTCAGTGCAAGATCTTGTGGCATGAGATCTTATACCATCCCTTCTAAAAATAACATGAGCCCCAAATAGTGCTCTAAGTAGGGAATAGTCGCCCAAGTCTTCACCAAACTGGGCTCAAACCAGGACCAATCCTCACCTGTGCTATGTGGTCATGGATGCCCCCCAGTGCCATCATCCTCAGTGTGTGGAGGGCCATCTGCAGAGCCTCCGCCCCCTCAGAGCTGTAGCGGTTCTCACACCAGAACGTCATCAGGAACATCAGGTTTACTGCACAAAACAAGTCCTCAGGTCAACTCCAGACCTCTTCGCCGTGATTTTGCCACATTTTTCTCACTATTATTTTTTATGAGTCACACCTCGGGCCATAACAAGTTCAGGTCTTTTGTTTCAACTTGGCCCCATTCGGTCTCAGGACCCAAAAGCCCTTCTGTGGGACCCACCTTGTGCAAAATGATATAAGTCTGTTAAAAGTGCTGCTATTGTCACATAAAGTCTCACATAGGCAGGAAATGTCAAACAGAAGATGATGTGGAATACAAATATAACCTTATAAGGGTTTATGCATATCAGAAAATTGTATTCTCAAGGACAAATTCTCTTCACAAATTAACTGATTGTGAACCATGTCAGGATTCTTTGTTCTACTTTTAACAGACTCATATTATTTCACACACGGTGGGCTCCATAAAAGGGGTCCTAAGGGTCCTAAGACTGAAGACATAATGTCCTGAGGTGTGACTCATGAAAAATAATAGAGAGAAAAAGGAGCTAAATAATGGCATGGAGGGCTCTGGCTCCTGAACTACAAACAGAACAAATCACATATGACAGGTATTTTTAAAGAAGACACATTCCGCTATGTAAATATCTGTGTTGATAGAAAAATTGTAGAAGTAAAACCAACCTTGCATTTGAAGGATTTATGTCTGATCAGCAGCAGCGAGTTGTACTTCCTGATAGAAAGCTTGGCAGCGGCGGACAAAATAGTCCCTCAACATGTGACAATTCATGCGACGCAAGGTTAGTTTTATTTCAAACATTATTCTATCAACACAGACATTTACATCAACAGTCTGGGGTAACAATAGATGTGCTTTGGGTGTTTTGTGGAGTGGGTAAGACTGTTTTTAGTGTCAGGATAACTATGGCCATTGACATGCACCTCCGCAAATATAAAGATGTCTCCAATACTCTGTCTCACAAGGAATTGAGGTCCTATGTCCAAAATTCTGAACTGTCCCTTTAACATGTTTTATAAGTTTTCATCTTCGTTTTCCCTTAATCATTTTCCCTTCATTTTCCCACTAATGAAACTACTGCACATCGCATCAGGTTTGTGAAGTTATAGTATGTTGTTTTGTATCCTGCTTTTATATACTGTATTTATGAATAGTTGTGTGGGAGCACGGCTGACATAGGCTTGTGTACTCTTACTGCTAACCATAAGGAGGGTTTGAATAGGGCTGGGAGAGATCGCTAAATTGCTCAAACATACATGGATGACATCTAAAACCTCTTTAGACATGTTTTTGATGAGGGAACAACGTTATAACATGGTAGAAAGCAAATTTGTTTAGAAAGTGTTCAGTGTACCTGGACTGGGAAACTTGGGAGCGTCTCTAAATCCTCCGTACTCCTCCTCGTACGACTGGGCCAGCTGCTCGAAACAGCGCTGTGCTACGTCTGGGGCTAAAGGGACACTCGCCCCAGACTGTGCACTCACAGCTGTGCCCTGCCTCAGAGCGGACAGGATCCTCTCTCCACTGGACTCCAGAGCAGTGCGGTTACTCTGCCACTAGGGGGACACCAGGCACAGGAACAGCTTTATTAACCCTGTACTGGAGCGTTATTATGTGTCTGGATTTTGTATTCAATTCAAATTAAAGGTGGTTATTAAAGGTGCACTGTGTAACTTTTTGGTTGAGGCTCCATCACCTGCTTATTTCTATTGATATGTCACTGCTCTGCCTGGAATGTTCCACAGTATGACATTAAGTAGTTCTACCTTACATTTATTCATTTACAGGTGGTTTAACAGCTCAAAAATACCTAGAAAAACAGGCATTCTGACTGTGAGCGGGGTTGCTTCTCTACAGATCTGACCTCTAACTGAATCATTATGTTATCATTTGGACATTTCAATCACAACATTCATCTATCCTCCTGAATCCTACATGTATCACCTATTAAGAAAATAAAATTGGAAAACGAAGTAGGTACATCACACTGGAGTTAATCAGTGATATGGCATTTTGAAAATAAGTGACTAAAGGTGACTGAAACATGCACGAATCACAGATCCAACTTCCGACTGTAAATGATGATGGAAAACAACAATAACCTGGTTAAAAGCTCTACAAAGTTGAGTAAAGGAAGTAAACAAGCAGATTAGTTAAACAGATTTTTTGTGACAAGGCCCTAGAGAGAAAATGTCAAACGCCAAACACTGTACTAAACTCTACTATTTGACTTTGGCAGATTGCACTACCTGCTCCAGTATCCTGCTGAGAACAGTTTTGAGACCGGGTCTTCTGGCGTGGTCTCTGGGAGGAAAGTAAGTCCCTCCGATGAACGGTTTGAGGTCCGGAGTCAGCCACACACTCATAGGCCACCCCCCTCCTCCACTGGTCGCCTGGTGGATACACAAAACACCAGAGCAGCGTTCAATTTCACAAGACATTTTACTCTTATAATATATGAATATATCAAGAATAACATAAATGCATCAATACTTACTAAGGTATCCAAAAGTACTGATTCCCATTTCTCCTACTTTTTTTTAAATCTATGCTTTATATTTTAGCTTATCTGCACACATATTTCAAACTGGGGTGAAGATAATGATGCCATGGTAATATTCTATTATTATCGTGAAGGAGCTTCAATGCATTATTACAAAAGTAATTAGTATCAGTGTCTGATCAATATTGCAATACTTATCACGGTATTACTTGGTATCAGATTGAAACAAAACTCACTGGTGTCACCCATTATAACTGAAAAGAGAGACTAGTCTAGGGTGCCCAGATGTCCCTATTTACCTGGGACAGTCCCAGTTTTGAGCCCTGTGTCCCCTGTTCCAGCAGATTTATCTGAAACCACTGATTTGTCCCAGTTTTATATAAGAAATGTCCCAGGTGTCCCTATTTTTGACCAATCTGATCCAACAGTAAAGAGAGGCATAAATTGTCATTTGTTTAGGTAAAATACAGAAAAGATGATTAAAATGACCAAAACACAAAGAAAATGTGATTATACTGCCTCACATGTTAGGCATGATTGGGCTGAGTGCAAAACAATTGTCATTAATTACTCACTCGTTTCCAAATGTTATTATTACCAATCACCCCAAAACAGGGATGACCCAGTTTTTGATTTTGAAAATCTGATCACCCTAATCTAGTCTGAGTTGTTCCTTTCATACATTTATGCTGCAGAATAATCTGTACTTTTAACGGATAAAAATACATATATAAAATTAGTTTAACCAACAAAAATATGCTGATATATGTTAGTCAACAAAATCAAAGAAACTGTATGTAGCCTGCTCTTTTACACTTTTCAATCTCAAATGAAATTTACATCATCTGTGGACATAGTTAATAGTAGTTGTCTCCATGGAGATGTTATTGCTTTGTCTGGAATGTTTCACGGTATGGTATTAACGCTTTATATCCTCATGGAGACCAAACCAGACCAAGTTACAGGTCAGATTTGTGGAGAGAGGCGACCATGCTCACAGTCAGAATCCCTGTTTTTATAAGTATTTCTGAGCTATAAAACCATTTGTAATTGAATAAATGTAAGGTAGAGCTGTTTAACATCATCAACATCAGCAAACAACAGACTCTCCACCAGAAAAGTTACACAATGCACCTTTTAAAATACCTGCACAAACGTCATGTAGACCTTATCCACATCGGGGCGTTCTTCTCTGTCCACTTTGATGCACACAAAATTGTCACTCAGAATTTGACCGATTTCCTCATCTTCGAAGGACTCTCTCTCCATCACGTGGCACCAGTGACATGTGGAATAGCCCACTTTTACACAGAGAGGAGCAAAAAGAGAGAGATTATGGTTGTGTAAAGATCAGAGGTGGGTAGAGAAGCCAGAAATTGTACCGTTACTTTAAAATAATATTGCTCAAGTAGAAGTATTGAGTAGCAATCCAAGAAAGTAGTCAAGTAAGAGTAAATACAACTACTGCTACTGCTACTGCTACTACTACTACTACTGTGGAAAATACTACTTGAGTAATTTAAAGAGTCTCATAACTATTGTTTTAAATTTCAATACTAAATTTATACCACAATGAGAATAACAAAAAAGTCTTTCGTTCTAAAGCTGTTCAGGAAAGCTTTTCAATTCTGCCTTGTGTATGTGGATTTTTTTAGTATCGATACCTTCTCAAATGAGTATTTAATTTCAATACTAGATTTAATATCAAGAATCAGATTTTCCATACTTCCATACAACCCTATAAGAGATTATGTTGTGCAAAGATCAGAAGTAGGTAGAGAAATGAGTTTTTGCACTGTTACTAAAATAATATTCTTCAGGTAGAAAGGGTAAGTAGTGATCCAAGAAAGTACTCAAATTAGAGTAAAAAGTATTTGGGGAAACTACTAGTCTGTCTACATCTCTGTTCCACCCTGTGATGTCATGAATTGGTAGTTTTCAAGTAAACAGCTACGTTTTACCTTTAATTTAGTAGAGATAGGAAATTTCAGGGCTGAAATTATCTAAATAATATAGCGAAAGTGTGTGGAGTGTAAAATCACAGTGAAGCACTTCCTGTATTACCACATGACATCACAATGTGGAACAGAGTATTTCTGTTTGAGAGAAGAACTAACCTAAATATGCAGGGTTTGTGTGTTAAACATGAATGAAACAAAGCATAACTCCAGGTCTGTTTGGGAAGGAAACAACTTTATAACATAGATCAGAAGAGTATATAACTCAAGCAGAAGTAAAAATAAAAATGTACAATAAAACTGTAAATGGAATAAAGTACTACCCACTTTTGAAATGAAAAAGTACCTCTCATACCTGATAAAAAGATAGGTTTGTCCTCAGTCTTGGCTTTGTCAAACGCCTCTTGTCCCCATGGATACCTGAACACACCATCATTTGGAATGTGAACTAAACTCCAATGTCATGCACAATCAGTAGAAAACAATTCACAATAGATCATATTGGCTAGGCTTGTGCCATTTAAAGTTTTTGGTCTCCATGGAGATGTTGTTGCTTTGCCTGGACTGTTATGCAGTGTACCACTATTGCTTTGCTAAAAATTAGTATTGATGATGGAAATTGCAAAGTTTCATACATTCTGTGAAACAAAAAGAACATCTGTAAAGTAGAACTGCACAATATATCAGAAACGTATCACCATATTGCAATACTGACAGACACGATAATCTATTTCACAACATACTCAGTATACCACAATAAAACAAATGTTCTGCTTTTAAACTGTTCTGTTTTTAAAGGTATTATATTATGTAAAATTGACTCTTGTGAGCTTTAAGCTATGATAGAATGTTGTTACCTCACCAAAATAATTACCAGGGTTGTGTTTTGTTTCATTCACACATGTTTGAGTAATCATTTATTAGTCTGTCTAAATCTCCAAATCTCAAAATGCTCTGTTCAATCTTGTGATGTCATAAAGTAGTAGTTAGTAGCAAAAAGTAAATGGTCACATTTTTATACAGCACGTTTCAACAATATATCAAGGAACCACTCACCCATTCACACACATATTCATACACACTGGGGGATCTGTGGGAGCTGGATCCGACCGCTCAGCCAATGCTGTTTTATGTCGAGAGTGGGACTTGAACCGCCAACCTTTGGATCAGTGGACAAACAACTAGTGATGGGCGAATGGAGCCTCGTGAAGCATTCACACCTCAGTTGCAACATTGTCTCAAATGGTTCGACGTGTCTGAGGCCTTGGAGAAACACTGACCTCTGTGGACAAATTTAACCATTGGCACGCAGGTGTCTCAGCATCGATCAAGTATTGTTAGTGTAAGACAATACTTGTGTGCAGGGCATACACCGTACCTAACAACAACAATAATATGTAAAGAGCAACATAAATAGCTGCTGTAAATAAGAAAATAGGTGACCTTGTTAGGTGGAATTAGATCAAAGTGATCCCAAACCATGGATCGATTTTTCCACTTGTAGATGCCATCGAAAATGAAACAAATGCCAAAAGTCGCCAAAAGTCGCCAAAATCACCACTAACGTCACACAATACTCCTTACTACCCAACATTTTTAAGAAATATTGGTACTGTAGCAGTTGAAATAGACCACGGAAGTGCGCTGAACACTCTGAAGCACTCTGAACCAATCGCAGAGCGGAACATTTGCTGAGCCAATGAAAAGCTTCAATACACTGAAGTGATTGACACGCAGAGTGAAGCCGTAAGGGGAGGGACCGACACTTGGACACTTTGGTCACGTGAGCGGCTGCTGCGAGACGAGCTCCGAGCATGGATCTATTAAAATAACTGGATACAGTATTGCTAACTTGTAGCTGCCTCCAGTTGACGTAGCGGTCACTCACTGGAACTTCAGCAGAAAAAGTCCCATGGGCCGAGACAAGATTTTTCTCATAGAGCGCAATGTAATCACAAACTGCTCGTGTTCGTCTGACAGATCACCTACATCTTTCAAAAATATCGGATTTGCTGGCGATTTTTACCTATTTTTAGATCATAAACTTTTTCTCAGCTCAAAATCCTTCACTTGTCTTAAAAAATGCTTTATAATCGTTAGCTTCGGCTCCACTCTCTGAGGCAGTGCTCCGGAGCAATTTGTTTCAGAAAGAACGAGACATGCTCCAGGCCGTCTCATTTGCCCATCACTTCAAACAACCAACTGAGCTACTGTCGCCCAGTTCTGTACTGATGGGCTTTTCTAGGGCTGAAATTATCCTAATTATTCTAGTGAAGGAATATGAATGAAGTTTAAAAACACAGTGGAGCACTTCTTGTGTTAACACATGATATCACAAGGTGGAACTGAACATGTGTGAATGAAACAAACACAACTCCAGGTCTGTTTGTGATGAGGAAACTGCATTATAACATGGATAAGAAAATAGCATAATACAGGCCCTTTAAAAATACTTTGTTAAATAAAGAAGAAGAAGTTTCTCTAATAAATGAAAGCATTATTATTGAGTCAAAAAGTATATTAAAATATTGTAATAATATTGATAATAAGCAGCTCACAGCTCTCAACAGCCATACTGTACAGCCCTACTAAAGACAGAGAAGCAGGTTTTGCACCCTCCACCAGAAAAGTTACATTGTAAAGCTTTAGGCATAGCTTTTGTAGAACTAGACTAGAGCATTATCAGATGAGTGTGAGACATTGTAAAGAGGCTCACCAGTCAACAGGGTTGTGTGCGTGCTGCAGCAGATAAGGAGAGCGCTCCTTCACCAGCCTGTTTGTGTGTCTGTGAGAGGACTCTTCACCTCCTGAGGCCATCCTGATCAACACCGAGCTGCAAACAAAGCACATCCACATCCACAGAAAGACATGTGGGGGTCAGAGGTCAGAGAGATTTTAAATACTTCTTAAAGTACATATGACAGGGTAGAGTACTCATTTAAAATATTAAGAAAAAATGCTTTTATAATTTTACTTTCTATATATACCTAGAGGTAATTGCACCACCTTTTTGTGTGCAAATTGTCTCTGCATTTCAGATGGAATTTTCAGTGTTAATGACATAGGTAAAGGTATTTGCAACTTCCTATGCTTTTGTCCTGTCGTTCCTCCTTTTTCCCATAAACTACCACTTAACGAAAGATAAAAACCCTCCACAGGTACTGTAATTCTTAGAAAAACATTAGCTTAACAACATAGTTATTATTATAGCTGCAGTGCATTTCATACATACTGTATTATTAATGAAATGTCTGATTGATTTTATAATGGATGAAGACAGTTAATAGCAGTTGTAGCTGTAATAAATAGCTGTTATACCAACAGGCATGAGTATAGTTACAAAACAGAGCCTCTGCTCTTTCTCATAGGGACTACACTTACTACAGTTCAGTCACTGGGGGAAAGTGTTGACACTGAATATCCTTCTTTTCATGATTGGTGTTTGTTTATAAATGTAGTCTATAGGCTGTATCAGGGGTACCCCATTTATGGCCCAGGAGGAAAAGGCGGCCCTCCAGACCAATTCTCGTTGACCTTCATTCTTCCTGGTAAATGATCATACATCATTTTTACAGCTAATTCTCCAATATGAAGCAGACCGAAAATTGGTGAGAGGGAATTAACTTAGTCAATAAATAGTGCCATTATTTGTTGAAATCAAAAAGACAACCATATACGTCTTTTTTCATTCATTGAAATAATTAATTCTTCTTCTTCATTCTTATTTTTTTCATTTTGAATAATTAATAATCTTAGCCTATATAATGTAAACAGAGCAAGTCTCACGTCCATTCATTCACTTCAGCACGTGTCATTCACTGATAATAATCTCATTTCGTCCGTCCGCCTGTGCACTACCATTTAGCATAGAACAGAAAGCAAGATACCAATATTACCTAGAATAAAGTTAACCCAAACCTTGTTAGCATAAGGTTACTCACTAAATACTAGGCATTTCGGCCGAGTACGAGGTTGCCATGGACACGCTTGTGTATTCAGTGGAACGCTAAGCCCCGCCCCTGAGCGAAATGCCTAGTGTTAACAGCTGGTTAGCATTAGCCGCGTTAGCTCAGTGGTGATAGTTGGTTACCTCCGGGAGCAGGCCGAGCAGCGGAGGACACACGCCGCTCTGTCTGAAGGGGAGGGACGGGAGAGAAGCCTGAAGCACCGCGCCGAACAAGCACTGTGCTGTGGGGATCTCCAGCCCAGAGAAGCCGCTGTAGATGTCCCGAGACGTGCTAGTGCTAGTGGGCTAGTCCTGCTGCATGGCGCCCGCTGCCACGCAAACCTCAGCAACATTGTAATGGAACCTGTGAGGAGGTTCTCTGCTGCAGCACATGTGCACGCTGCAGAAACACTATGTAGGATGACTAGGGCAAAGTATCCAGTGTTTTTGTAATTCTGCAAGTTTGCACAAGAGGTCGCACCATTTGACAGTGCAACAACTGGAGTCAAATAACATGCATGATTCAGGCCATGATCAGGGCAGACTATGTAACCTATTAACAAATAATACAAATAAACATGTCTTTCAGTGCTTATGGCCTGGCAGAGATTTCATGTATTACACATCACTTACAATACAGAAAAGCACAGAATACAAAATAATTAATAATATGCTTGAATATTACCATCATGCACTAAGCTCTAAACAAAACAAAAAAGTAATTCACCAAGCAGATTATGAGAGTGTAATAAATGGGTTAGATAAAATATTAGCTGCTTATTTCCGCATACATCACATTATCATCATAGATATTTCTCTATTCTCTTAAGAGTCTTAAAAACGTATTACAATCCCAACTGAACCAGTGCCTTAAAATCATAGACTGTATAAAGAAGGGAGTGTGATGTCACCCATAGCGTTCGACTCCAGTCAAATGAAGCTCACGAGGGTGGCAGTTATAATAGCAAATTTCATAATAGGACTAGGAATTGATTTATGGACAAAATAGCAAAATGAAAACACCAGGATCATGTAGAGCAGGTTAATAAGAAACATTTAAAACCAAAATAACAAGGCTTAATGCAGCACTTAAAGAGAGAGACGGGTGATAGTTTTTCAATGTAAAGTCATTTCAATCAGAGTTAATGAAGCTTAAAGCGCCCCAGGATCACTTCGTATTTAGAGAACGCCAGCGGGTTAGCTATGTCCATTTATATATTTATATATACACTACACAGTCTATGGTAAAACTGCAGATAGAGTTCACATAGCCTACACTGCTCATTCATAATAGCAACTCTCCAGCGACTAGGTCAGGAATCGGAATACACTAGACGGTTTGCAAAAACCCTGAAAGTACAAGTTCGGGCACCAGCCAATCAGCGAAGAGCCATATATTCACTGTTGTCAACGATTCCTGAGATCGAGGATTTAAAACCGGAACAAAGAGAATGTTTGGTGAATTTTATCAAGGGGAAAGACGTTATTGCCCTTCTTCCTACGGGACTTGGGAAAAGCTTAATATACCAGTTAGCCCCGTTAGCGGCACATTACATATGTCACAACCAAATAGCATCGACTGGTTAAATGATAAAAAGTACCCGCCTACCGTCAAGCGAACGAATTCTAACACTGTGAGGTCAGACGGTTTCTACGAAGTGAAACTGTTATCCAGTGCAGGAGAGACAGGAGATCCATGACGAGGCCATGCAGTTGTTGGGACCAAACTGGGGCAGAGGGACAAGAAGTGCACCACAGGGAGCGCGCGCCGAAGCTGGTAGTCTGTTAGCGACTAACACTGGATTCGAACTAAAGCAGTTTATGGATGGACCATTAAAGTATCCAGTGGTAGCAGATGTAGATTCACATCCAGGTACAAGCAAGCCTGCTCACAGTCAGTCACCAATGAGGAGATCAGCCGGTCAGGACATCAACCAATCAGGAGACCAGCCATTAGGTCCTTTGTAAATCCCTCAATCATCCAGGTAATCGACAAAAGTTTTTTTGAGTGAATATATTTCGCAGCTCATGGACTTTTGTGTCCAGTTGACAGAATTGAATTTCTCCTTTTGCGATAACCTATCAGGTCGTCAGCCAACAAGGAGATCAGCCAATCAGGATAAAAGCCAGTCATGAAATAAGCCAATCAGGAGGTCAGCCAGGGAATTTTTATTTTATTTTATTCATTTATTATTATCTTTTTTGCTATACCAGAGTGGTAGCACCAGGGACCTCTGGCTCAGTAGGAAATGAGGTCCTATGTCCAAAATTATGAACTGTCCCTTTAACCTCCTAAGGCCCAAGAGGTTTTTTTACATGCATTTTTTTAATTTGTCTTTGCTATTTGGGATTATTGGAACCTAATTAGAATAAAAACTAAGTATCAGATTTTGATATTGTGTACTTTTGGAGAAAATTGATGTCTACATATGTGGACTCTTGGTCCGAATCTCCATAAAACACAAGAAAGTCACCTTTGAGTAATGGAAAGAAAAACTCTTTATTTTCACCTTAAACACAGTATTTATTTATTTTTTCCTGACTGATTTTGCATGTATTAAAAACACATACATAACAGTTCTGACCATAGTCTCGTGGGGTCCCGTCATGTCTGTTTAGATCAGTTTCGTCCTGATGCTGATTCTCTGCAATGTTTGGGGTCAATGGAGTTGCCTTCCAGCAAATTCCATGTCCTGCACAACCAGATTTAGGATAAAAAATATGTATTTTTATATTTATTTATGTATTTATTTCCGAATGTATTCATTTATTTATATTTATTTAGTTAGTTATAAAAATATATGTATTGTGTAAATAATACTAAATTAAATTAATGATAATAAATACATAAAATAATATAATATTAAAAGACAAAAATAATAGCGATTACTCTGTTTGGACACTCCCTTTTTCTTGGTTTGGCTTGGTTCTGGTGTTGGCTCGTCCAAATCTTCTGAGCTATCAGTGCCAATCTTTTGAGTTTGACAGTGACATTTGTGAGTACGGGATGAACCTGTAGCTGTCTCTGCCCCTGTTTCTGTCCCTGACCATGAACCTGTCAACGAGTGTTGTTAATTTGTATTTGCTGCCAGTTCTTCATGTAGCCCTGAGGCCCTAACTACATAAAATCAAAATATATACTGAGTCTTGGCTAACCATTATCTGCAACACACAAACGTTTAGGTCTGCTGTGCTGAGTGGGCTCAGGATTGGGGTCCTCATCTTCACTGCTGCTTTGCTCCTGTGATGGTGTTTGCATGATTTTCATCCATGATAGGATCATCATTGTTAGACAAGACCGAATCCAAGTTCTCTCCATCAAGTAACCCAAGTAGCTCTAATGCTCTTTGTACAGAAAAACGCTCTAGAAATAAAAACATAACCCTTACCCTAACCAGATGACATGTAATTTATGTATGTAGTTATGCATTATTTATATCAATGGTACAATGTACAGTGTTTTGGTGCATCAGAGTTAGCTGTAAGTTAGTAAGTAAGTGAACTAACATTTTTTACTACCGTATTAGATTTTCAACATTTTCAAGCCAACTAATCTATGTATATATGTATGTATTTAGTGATTTGATTGTTATTTATTTCACTGGGACAATGTACAGATTTTTAGGTGCAAGAGAGATAGCTTTTTTCTTATTGTACATATGTGAATGTGTATTAGGATTTTAATGTTTTCAAGGAGCTTCAGTCTGTAAGTACACATATGTGTACATCATGTTACCTCACATACTAAGTTGATATTTTTACAATACTTTTTTTTTTCAAATTTGCATGTCATGACAGATGTACAACACTTTCATAAATATCTAAATCAGAATAAGCCATAAAATATGACAGCACCTCTAAAATGATCGATGTTTGTGTATGGAGGTGCCACTTTTACCATGTGTTCGCCGCTATATTGAATTTTGACAATAGTAAGTTAGGCTCTTGTGACACTACTGGATGGTAGAGTCACTGCCCACACATGTGTCTATAACACCCCCAGTTCAGCACAGAACAGGATTGTGGACATAAGAGGTAAAAAGTGCTGTCCACGTATGTGGCCACTAAGCCCTAAGAGGTTTTAAGACTGCCAGGACATTAACCAATCAAACATCAGCTCATATTTTTTTTATATATTTTTTTTATTTAAATACAATCATTAGCCAGTGCCACTGACCAAACCACCAACCAGACGGTGGTTTAGATTTTCCTGAAAAAGACAAAGACGAGGAAATGTTACATTTGCTCTTGTAACATAAATATTCACACTTTAATATATAATAAAATAATAATATATAATAAATATAATAATAATATATATATAATAAAATATGCAACACTTTGTATTAGGCCGGCTCTCAGTGCTGTGTGAGCCTAGAGAATGTCAGTATATTTCTTTATAAGTTAAATGTAAGTCTAATTTTCAAACATTTTCCCATAAACATATGCACTTGAGATGAGTAAAAGGTTCTTACCTGTGGACTTTGGTGGCCTTCTTAATAATCCTGGGTCTAGGTTGAAAGGTTTGAATGGCTTGTCCGACCGGAGATGTGCTCTACAAACAAAACATATTTTTAAATCACATTTACTGTATTCAGCACTCTGACTGGGAGGCATATATAGTTGCATATACAGTAATAATAGCATAAGAACTAGGGTTGTGACGATATCCAAATCTCTCGATACGATATTTTCATGATATGCATCTCACGGTACGATATTTATTGTGATATTTTGCAGAAGCTAGCGAAATTGTGAATATGCTACTTTTCTGTCATATTCCACATAATTAAGATTTAAACATGCTTAATAACAGTTGTTTTATCATGTAGATTGAACTAAAACAGAGCAAAGGATCATGGTTGATGTAGTTCTGTCTGTTTTTAAGCTGTTGCTGCACCATAACAACACATCGAATTACAAAGAAACTTGTAATTCGATATATATTGCGATGGTCCACAATATTATTGTGAGACTTTTGACGATACAATATCACGATATTTCGATTATTGTTACATCATCCTTAGTAATAACAGTTCAAATCTATGTTTAAAAATGGATACGTATTAACAATCACAAAGTAGAATGTTTGTGTACCTGTTTTCCTCTCTTGGCCTCGGGTTCAGAGTCTGGGGTGTGGGGGCGCTTGGGGGCCGATCGTCTCTCCGTCGCGACCGCATCATACTCCTCTTGTCTCTCTCCTAATCCGGGAATGACGAGTTTATAAGTTTGGGCATTGGCATACTCCGCCTCGATCTGCATGCCCTCGGTCTAAAAACGTTGAGCCTTTGCGTACGCTGCAAAAACACAACACAACAAAACTCTCAATATCACTACGTAAAAACACCGTGCAGTATTTCGCAGTAGATATACACTTACCAGACTAGACGAAGGTCAGGACGTCAGGGTTCAGGTTCAGACTCTTGGTGTTGGGGCTGAGTTTAATGCCTATGACCCACGTTGTGCTAAGTCCATTCCTGAAAAATATATATATTTTTTCATTTAACGTGGGTTCAAAGGAGCTGTTCATTTTGACAGTGCCTGAAGGACTAAAGGGGACAAAGAGAGGTGTACTAAAATGTCAAAAAATAACATAAAGAATACTATAAAAACTACTTTAAATATAATTTAATAATACTTAAACAACTGTAATTATAACAACACCCTTTCCAAACCGACACTAGTTTACTGCCCTACAAATGTGTACTCTATGTTTACAGCATTAGCAGAAATGTTTTTGTTGAGCTAAACTAAAAACAATGAGATGCAGAAAATGTGTATGTACTTTTCAGGAAAGGTCTGGAGACTGGGACAGGCCAGGAGGATGTCGGGGTTCCTCTCCAAGATGCCCACCAAGTGTCTGAGCTGTGCCTCGATGTAACCAGTCCTATAAAAAATACACAGAATACATTTGAAAATAATCAGATTTCAAAGTACACTACAATCTAAAATAGTTACAGATACACGTGAATCACAATAAACTGAAATACAAAATATATAAAAGTCTGGATACTCACCATTCTTTATGTGTGGCCTCTGTTGGAGCGGTGGCCCGCAGCAGAACATAGTGTCTGAAGGAATCAAACAACAGTCTTAATATATTATAGATCTGTGTATCATTCGTTCATATGTTTTTCAAAATTAAACCAAAAATAAGAAAATGAAAAAATATTTTCTAATTAATATAATATAATAATATTAATTTCTAATTATTTGTCTCCAAAACCAAAATGAAAAAAAAGGATAAAGATTCGTTTTTTCAGTTTTCGATTTTGTGTTTAAATGAATAATGGAAAAAACGGATAATGACATGATATTTATCGTTTCCATATTTATCGTTTCCATGACTTAAACTGTGATGCCAGATTGAACCAGGTCTAAACCAGAACTGAACCAGGACTAAACCAGGTCCCAGTCTGGGCCTGGTCTCAGTCCCGGTCTCGGTCCCTGTCTCAATTCTAGTCTGGTCCTGGTGTGGTCTCGATCTGGTTCCGATCTCAATCCTGGTCTCGGTCTCAGTCTGGTCCCAGTCTGGTCCTGGTCACAGTCCCGATCTGGTCCTCTTCTCAGTCCCGATCTCAGTCCCTGTCTCAGTTCTGGTCTGGTCCCGGTCTGGTCCCAATTTCGGTCCTGGTCCCAGTCTGGTCTGGTCTCAGTTTTAGTCCTGGTTCAGTCCGTATGCGACATAAAAGTCCGGTATCGCAGTTTAAGTCACAGAAACGGGAAACATCCATTACCCCTTTTTTCCATTATTCATTTAAACACAAAATTGAAAACTGAAAAAAGATCTGTCATCCATTTTTTCATTTTGGTTTAGGAGACAAATAATGAAGAAAGTAGTAGTTGTTGTTGTTGTTTTTTTTTCCCGAATGAACGAATAATACACGGATTATTATGTTTTCTTATTTTTAAATTAAATAAGTTGCATTTGTTTGTCAATATACAAACTTATAGGAGAGGCACGTACTGGTAGTTTTGGAAAAACACTACAGGTTCAAACAGCTTTTTCCATGTTGTTTTATTTGCAAACACCTCCTTTATAATACTGTGCCCTGCAATAGAGAACAAACATTATACATTCATGAAATTCCTAATCATGTGAGTGTAGTTTACTCATTGTTAAATCTTTGCAGTAAAAACATAAAAGGTATATACTGTGTTTAATCTCCTCCATCATGATTTTTTGGGTGGATGCTGTAACGTTGAAGGAGGAATTCTGGTGTGGGTACGAGGGCGTGATGATGGGCATCAGGTGAAATCGATCGCTCATGTTGACCTGAGAATTTAAAAACATAAACATTTAGTCAGAGCTGTGTGTAATGTGTCATTTTGATTGTATTATTTTCTTCCATTTCAATTAAAAACTACAGTAGCTACTATACTAACGGATGCTCAAAAATGTAATTAAACGAAAACTAAACTACTGAACTAACTAGAGATGTAAGAATAACCGAAATATCATGATATCGTATTGTCAAAAGTCTCACAATAATATTGTGAGCTGTCAATATATCGAATTACAAGTTTGTTTGCTTAAATGCATGGTTTTATAATAGCAACAGCTTATAAACATCGAAAACTACATATCCCATGATTCATTTCAGTGCAGACATGTGAGAAATATGTTTTTTACATGAGTTCTCTGGATTATGACGGAAATAATTCACACCAAATCTCGTCAAGGTATTTTAAAAGCAGAAACATGTCCTATCTACAATTATATTCGCCTCCCCAAAATGTCACAATAAATATTGTACCGTGAGATGCATATCGTGATAATATCGTTACATCCCTAAAACTAACCCTAACCACACTTTGAGATCCCTTCCCAGGTTTTAAAACTGAAAGTACTTACGTTTGGATTCCACACTGGGAAGCTGAGTTTCCGCTCCTCCGGAATCCTCAACAGGATTGGATTAGGCCATTCCCTATTTCACAAAAAAACACAAATAATTCAAATTCAGCAAAGTCACGGGTAGAAAATAAATATTCTTAAATATTCTACTATCTCCACATTGTACTTACCACATGGAGTACACCTTGAAAAACTTGTCTACCAACACAGGGGCAGTGGTGTACGGGTAGAGCTGGCAGATCCTGGCAACTAAAATGGCCCAAGACACTCCACCCAGGAAGCCCATCTTATTAGAGTAGATGTTTCGACCTAAAACACAGAATACACATGTTAGTTTAATGTGGCCATAATTCTAACTGACATTTAAACGTGTAAATGGTATTTGTTGTGTAATTTGGTTGATTTTACTTGAAGAATAAAATGGGTCTGTTTCATATGAATTTTGCGCAAAGACTTTTAGTATCACAACCATGATTTAGCCTTACTGAACCGCTTTAAATAGATTTGAAATGTATCTTATTGAATCATATCAAATCGTAAGCTCACTGTATCGACATATGTATCGTATCATGGCTTATGTATCGAGGTGTGTATCGTATTGGCAACTTCTGAACAATACCAAGCCTTTATCACAAGCTAGAATGGATTTTCTAAGCGCCATCTTTCTGTTTTCTCAAATGAACTAGCTTTTTCACTCATATTATTTGCTAACTGATAATACCGGTAATACAGATCATTTCTTCTCTTTTATTTGATCCAATGTCCTTAAATATATTCAATATTTGGATCTGTCTTGTATTGTAGTATCTCTTACATTTAGCCCAGTGCTTAATGGCAGTAAGCACCACTCTGAAGCTGAACACACTGGGGACCAGACTCAGGATCTCCTGGGTGACTCTGTATCCTTGGAGGCTGCGTACAGAGTGGACATCCATCCCCTCAAGGTGAGTCGGGTCCATCAGGTCCAGCTTGTCGGAGATGCTTTTTCTATTGATTTTAGCATAGACCATATCGACCTGCAAACACAAATATAAGCAATAAGCAATATTTATGGGTGAATACACTAATTAGCCTTAAGGAATCATCAGCAATAGTTTATTAAGGGTGCACTGTGTAACTTTTCTGCAGAGGTCTGCAACCTGTTTGTCTCCATGGAGATGTTGCTTTGGTTTAATTTGTCCACAGTATGGGATTAAACTAATCTGCCTTGCATTTATGCAACTACAGGTGTTAATTCCTGTATTTTCAGACAATAAGTCACACTTTTTTTATGGTTTGGATGGTCCTGCGACTTATGCTCCGGTGTGACTTATATATTAAAATTTTCAGATTGCCAGCCACGAGAGGGCGCTCCAGTCTTGTGTGTCAGTATCTGCTACTCCTATTACTCCTGTACCACTCTCACTTCGTCCTCTACTGCGCGTGTCTCCTGCAGAAAAGTATTCAGCGGAAAACGGTAATCGAGCAACAGAAAAAAACGTTTGATGTGCGTGAGAAACTTGTGAGGGATTGGCGGAAAGCGGGGATGGAGAACAAAGCTTCATGGCTACCGGGAGGGTGCACCATGCAACTTTCCTGGAAGTCATTGAATGGATCGACAAAGCCTTTGGACTTCAGTGACAACCAAAACTATCCTGAAAGGTCGGAATGATTCCAGCTGAAACTGATGCCGAGTCTGACGACAGCTACGCAGAAGAGGAAGCGGCGCTCTGTTTACCTCCGGAGGTCGCGGAGTTGCTCAGAAGTGTCACCGAGGATGAGAATTGAATGGATTTAGTGATTTGGAGTGAGATGGAGAGTTTGTTAAACTTGTTCTGTTCTGTTATTTATGTTATAGTTTATCTGAAGAACTGTTCATATGTGACATTAACAGTCTGTTGTTCTCTGTTCTTTTGTTATTACTAGAACTTGACTTTCAAGATCAAATGTCAGTTACTGGTCTCTGATTTTATGAAAAAATACATTTCCCCCAAAAGTGCGACTTATAGTCCGGTGCAATTTCCATGGAGACAAGCAAGTGATAGAGCGTCCACTGACAGGTTACACAGTGCACCTTTAAAGCATGTAACAGACCCTCCTCCAGAAATGTTACATGTAATTTACAACAGTGCAATTCAATGAAAGGGAGAAAGAAGAATGAATAACACACAGTTTTCTTTAGCGACGTTGTGTCTACAAATAATATTGACATGACCAAAGTAAATCTTACAAATGTATTTTTTCATTACCTCAATCCCAGCAATAACCAGCTTGATGACAGGCACAAAAGCATCCTCAATAACCTTAAACATATAAAACATGATGAGACTTTTGACAGTAAAATGAAAATCCACACATAGTTAGTATAGTTATTATGGGGGACTTACTTGAAGGATTTGGACTGCTTGTTCGGCCTGTAATTTCTCCACAAAAGAAGTGAAGAAGTCTTGGCGGGGCACAAATCCTGGTTCGACGCACAAGAGGTCGAAGTCTGAGCTTTTCATGTTCAGACCGAAGGCAAAGGAGCCAAACGGGAGCACTCTGCCACCCACCGTCTCAGTCACATCCTCAGGGACATTCTGAAACAAGACACACACATTTTGACATTTGACAGTTAATACACACAGTTCATACAGTTCATACACACAGTAAGTGCAACTAATGATTAAACTAGGCAAGCAAGTGATTATACAGTAAGAAATTGTTGTAAGGTAGTATTAGTAGTAGTAATCGTGGTAGTAGTATTAGTAGTAGTAATAAGTAATGTTTGTTTCACACCATTCTTGTGCAAAAATAAAGTCTGTAATAAAAGTTTAAATAGGATATGATATGAAGCCAAAATAACCTGTTTTCCTAGTACGTTGATAACTAGGGCCCGACCAATATATCGTTTGGCCAATATGGGCACTTGGAGCCATATATTGCCGATCTGGGTCGATAGTCCACGTGGGCATGTTATACCCCGTTATAAATTTTAGACTCTCTATATTATGTCCATTTAATCCATTTTACAGACAGATCAATGTCCTCATATGTGGCGCCGCATAATTATTTATCTGCGGAGTCATTTGTCTGAGTGACGTCATTCATGTCACTCAAACGCTCTTGAGTCTGATCCACGACACTGACTAGAAATAAAAGTGAACTTCAGCACAGTTTAGGCCAGTAACAAAACTTCTGCTTGTTTTTAACTTAGAAAGTTATTTGTGCAGACTTATGATCTGAGAGGAGCCTGTGTGAGCAGTGCGTGTTGCAGATGTGTCAGTTTTGAAGCTACTGTTCATTCTCATTAGCTGGTACTTAGCTGCTGTAGCTACCACACATAAACAGTAGGGCTGTCGCATTAACCGTAAAAATCAATCATGCATGTTGGCCCACCTCAATCACCACACAAAAGTTGTGTTTATAAATCATTTTCCAGTACATCAGAATTTGTTGGTGAAAAGGAGACAGTTGAACTGGTATTTTTAGCATCAAAATCACAGCATAAAATAAATTCAATTCCTCCTAATTTGGAGAAGAGGTAATTGGGGAAGAGAAACCAGATTTTATGTTGATTTTTAAGAAAGGATTTTAACCAGTTTAACTTCAGGGTAGAGTTTAGGCACTCAAAATCAATGGCTTGAAGACTGCCCTCTTAAAAAGGTTTGGTTAAATTGCCTTTTCTAATGTAATGTTTTTTTTTCCTCCATATTAAGTGGCTGATTGCTTTAATTGAGTTTTTGGGCATGGCCATAGAGTATGGAGGCTAACTCATTCTAGAAATGCTTTCCATTTTTCTGAAGTAGATTCTACCCAAAATGGATAAATCTCTGTGAGTCCATTTGGAGAGTTGAGTTTTACATTCTAGTAGTTTGTTCCAGATGTTTTTTATTATTGCACTCTTTATTTATGGTGTTTTTAATAGGAATATTACACACAGATTGAATAGAGCAGTCTTTTAAGGGCAAAATTTCACATTTGTTGATATTCAAGTATAAGCCTGTGGCTTTAGAAAATGTATCAATTATTTGTAGGATTTGGAGTATTTCGTCTAGATGATTTAGAAAAAATGGTAGTGTCATCTGCGAGTTGTCAGATAGATAGCGGCTGTCCCATCACAACAAGTTTACCAAAGTCACTGTCTTTAATATAAAGAGGCCTGTATAAATAGGGCTTTTGGGTAATTGAAGGTGTGGTTGAGCTGAGCTTGGTTCGCTGGAGAGGAGCAGGGGGAGGTTGAGGCGTGGTCCTACTCCTGAATCTAAGAAGACAACAGACCAGAAGACAATTAAATAGAATACATTTTGTTGTCCACCATGAATGCACTTAAAAATGAGTTGCGCGTAAGGACAGTGTATTACAGTACATACATTACGGTGTTTAAGGAAAATGTTCAGGTTTCCCAGAGCCTTGTGTTCACTGTGTTGTGTAGCATTACGGTGTTGGTAAAGGATGCCATGCGCCGCTCGGACAGGGCACAACCTGTGTGAACACTGTTGCTCAGCAGAAGTGTGGAAAGGAGGCTGAAAAGTGTCCACATCCACTTAGGTATGGCGTCAGCCAGTTTTGGAATAAAGGCTGAAATGGGGTGCAGGGTCACTCTAGAGAATAGAGTTTTATCATAGAATACAACCAAAACACTTGAGGAGAGTAGAATATGGACCTGTACAAGTGGCAGCTTAGTCATCTTTAGCTTCATGTTGGTTCCCCAAAAAAAGTCTGTCTTTTATGTGACAGGCCAAGTCTGCAAATTTTGCCTCTGGACATGGCCTTGGTTGTTAGTCCTGTTTTAAATGTGACGATGCTCCTGCTCTGTCCCTGTATAGGGCGAGACTCTACAGGCAAAACTATTATGTACTTTACTTATACTTTTGTAGTTTAAGAGTTCAAGCTGACCAAAACATAAGCTTTCATCTGGAGACAACAAAATATGTATTTAATTTGATCTACTTGCATCTGTAGAGTTATATGGGACATTGTGAATTTAAAGTCAGTTTTCTGAAAATTGATTTTCTACCATAGGCCCAGCCCTTAAAACAGCACTTACACACACCTTTACAGTCTTGCCTTTAACAATATTGTCAAAACATACACAGTCTAATTCCAAGTCTGATTTAGAAGTTTTAACTTAAAAAAAGTGGAAATGTGAATTTTTAAGCATTTTTTCAGTCAGATATAGTATAGTATATATCTCATAGTATATAACATGATGAGAAACTTGTAATACATTTTGTTCTTACATTTATGTACTACTACAGAAGAAGTTTCAGATTGATTTCTCTAAGTTTAAGATGTTTTCCTATTCACCTGCAGAGTTTCACCTTAAATAACTATATCTAGGCTCTCTCAGACAATGTAACTGACATACCTTCTCTCTCATATCTTCCAACAACTCAGATACAAACTGCCTGACTTAGGTATAGAGCGACGCTTCCATCCGTGACGTTGGGAAGACGGAGAGCATGGTCAGGAGGATGATCCGGAGGCCACTGGAAGGAGGAGGACGAGGGATAGACGAGGAGGGTGTAGGACGAGCGGACGAGGGGGGAGTCGGACGAGCGGATGAGGACCTCGGAGGAGCGGATGAGGGGGGAGTCGGACGAGCGGACGAGGGGGGAGTCGGACGAGTGGACGAGGACCTCGGAGGAGCGGATGAGGGGGGAGTCGGACGAGCGGACGAGGAGGGAGTCGGACGAGCGGATGAGGGGAGAGTCGGACGAGTGGACGAGGACCTCGGAGGAGCGGATGAGGGGGGAGTCGGACGAGCGGACGAGGGGGGAGTCGGACGAGCGGACGAGGGGGGAGTCGGACGAGCGGACGAGGGCGTCGGACGAGGAGCAGACGAAGAGGGCGTCGGACGAGCGGACGAGGAGGGCGTCGGACGAGCGGACGAGGAGGGCGTCGGACGAGGAGCAGACGAGGAGGGCGTCGGACGAGCGGACGAGGACGGCGTCGGACGAGCGGACGAGGAGGGCGTCAGACGAACGGACGAGGAGGGCGTCAGACGAACGGACGAGGAGGGCGTCAGACGAACGGACGAGGAGGGCGTAGGACGAGGAGCAGACGAGGAGGGCGCCGGACGAGCAGTCGTGGAGGGAGAAGGATGAACAGACGAGGGCGTAGGACGAGGAGCAAAGAGGACCTCAGCAGGAGGAAGAGGGAGGAGCTTCGCAGAGGACCTTAACGACGGAGGGAGGGGCTGAGCAGCAGAGGAGGACTCCGCACGAGGAGGAGGGAACAGCCTGGCAAGAGCAGGAGGGAGGGGCGTAGCAGGAGGTGCATCAGGAGATGAGGAGCACATCTTAGGAAGCTTGGCCGGAGCAGAGGTGAACTCAGAAGAAGAGGAGCGCTTCAGGGGGAGCCTAGAAGGGGAGGCCATAGCTACAGCGGCAGAGTGCGCTTGTGAGAGTGTGTGAATGTGTCAGTGTGTGTGAGTGCTTGTGTGTGAGTGTGTGTGTGTATCTGTGTGTAAACTTAGGGTCAGAGACGGGGTCCTGTAGGAGTCTAGATGCCTGAAGGAGCACTGGGCCAAGGATCACACAGATCTGTGGAGAAGAACACAATGTGTCACACACCACTGCTAACATGCCAACAGCTACCATACAGTTCAGCACCATGAAGTATCCATGTACTGTACATGGAAGTACCCCTGTACTGTACATGGAAGTATCCATGTACTGTACATGGAAGTACCCATGTACTGTACATGGAAGTATCCATGTACTGTACATGGAAGTACCCATGTACTGTACATGGAAGTATCCATGTACTGTACATGGAAGTAACCATGTACTGTACATGGAAGTATCCATGTACTGTACATGGAAGTAACCATGTACTGTACATGGAAGTATCCATGTACTGTACATGGAAGTATCCATGTACTGTACATGGAAGTATCCATGTAGAGCACAGCCAGAGTGGAGAACCTGAAGGTTGAAACTCAGTGTACAAGAAGGCCACGATTCACACTGCAGTTTGACAAGTACAGTTTGTCTAAAGCTCAAGAAACACTTGTATACAGTGTATAGTTATTACAACTTTGTAAAATAAAAGCCACTGTGTTAAGAGATGAACTGATTTTCTTTTAAATATACACTGAAAAAAAATAGTCAATTCAAACTCAATCTGAAGCCTTTGGAGCACAAAGAAATGTCTGGACTCGTTGTGAAGCTCAGACTTTGTAGTTTTGGCCTGATCTGCTGTTATCGTAAATGGAGACAAGCTGTACATTTGAGGAAAGTTACATTTCAATTGGTGCCTGAATTCTTTGGGGTAAATATCAGAATAGGTATAGCTGGTGTCCCTGGGAATGGCCTGATAGTCGTACATTGAGCATTTGTTGGGTCTTGAAACTTTCTATGACAAAGCTGAAGCATATCTCACTAAAAGTGACATTTGAGGGATTTGAAATACTTTGATAGTGTAAATAACTGGACCTGTCCTGCTTTATTAGTCCCCATAGTTGTTTACCAGCGCAGAGCCGGCAATGTTCAGTTCTTTAACACTCCCCAAAGTGTGGCTCCTTTACGCCCTAATACTATTTCACCTCTCTTCACTCATGTTTGTCCTTTTACACTGACATGTTATGACATAATAATAACTGTATTCTTACTACACATTCAAATCATAGACTGTTTCTATATGGTCAGTAGTGAATGTTACAAAGCCAACAGGCAATGAGAGGTTGTACTGAAATAAAAGGCTTGTCAGCCCTGACTAGACTTGGTCTCTAACATTAGGCTGTGGACTGCACATTTGAGAGGAACATTACAGTGGACTGGAGATACTTAAAGGAATGTGCCATCTTCATTTGGTCCAGTCTCAGAAAATCAGGTGCACCTTAAAACAGGAACTATAGAAGCCTAAAAGTCCATGTTTAAGACTTTTCTCCTTCTATATGCTCACAATAGTCACTATTAGGCTGTAGTTATGCTCAGTGCTGTTACCTGATGTTAATGCTTTTCATTTGAGCTCATGTAAAGAAGGTCAGAAGCAAAAGAGCACACATTTCTTTAAGTAAACGTCGCCTAAACATGATCTAGACTTTGATCAAAAGACATTTGAGCTTAACTAGTGGTTGTTTTTTGGAATAATAAAGTCATATGTACGATTGTACTTCCATGGTCAAATCCCATCGGGACTAAGGTGAACAGAGAAACACACAAATCTCACCTTTTTCCTCACAGACGTATCCTAGTCCGAGTCAGGGGGTGGTCAAAAGAAATCTCCTCAAAAATATCCAAAAGTGATGTTTTCTTTCTTAAGAAATCGTCGAAAATAATTCTCTAGTGCACAGGTTTGACCGGAGCCAAAGTTGCAGAATTCACAACATTCAAAACACGCGCTTAGGTGCGCTAGGCAACAGGAGCGCTGTCCGCGCTTACGTCATGACGCACACGTCTGCGGACAGTCCGTCTCCGACAGTCTCGTAGAGCAGAGCTACTCAATTACAAACTCAAAAGCTCCACTTACCAAATTTACACTGTTTCCAGGCTCGGAAAAAGTCACGGTGTATTTCCAAACTTAGAATTTCTAACAAAAGTTGCACAAAGTACTAAATACAGTAGTCGATAGATAAATAGTAAATCCACTAGCTAAATGGCTACTTTAGCAAAGCTAAGTGGCGAGAGGCTCTAGTCTTGTGTGTCAGTATCTGCTGCTCCTGTTCCTCCTGTACCACTGAAAACTGAAAAACATCATCGAGTAACAGAAAGAAAGTTTGGAGTGAGCGAGAAACTTGTGAGGGACTGGCTAAAGACAGCTTCAAGGTAACGGGGATGGTGCGCCATGCAACTTTCCTGGAAGTCATTGGATGGATAAAGGCTGAACTTCACTGACGACCGAAACCATCGTGTCTGGATTCAGAAAGGCTGGAAGAATTCTAACTGGAACTGGTGCTGAGTCTGAAGGCAGCTACACACGAGGAAGCGGCGCTCTGTTTACTCATAGATCTATTAAAATAATTTACCTCTGGACGTGGCGGACTTGTCTCGGAGTGACACCGAGGGTGAAAAATTCAGTGGATTTAGGTAAATTTGTGCTGTTTTGTTGTTTATGCTATAGCTATCTGAATCACTTAATATCTTACGTTAATGGCCTGTTCTCTATTCTATTGTTATTACTATAACTTGCCTTTCAAGATTAACTGTGTGTTCTTGGTCTCTGATTTGATAAAATACGTTTCCCCAAAAAGTGTGATTTATAGTACGGCGCGACTTATGTGTTATTTCTTCTTCATTATGACTTTTATTTTTATTATTATTATTTTTTTCCATCCAAAAAAGCACAGCAAAAAAAAAAAAAAAAGCAAAAAAAAAAAAACAAAAACACGCTGCCGGAATTAACCTATCACATGCCGGAAGTAACCTATCACACTCCACTGTAGTGATTTTGATACCGATTCGTGCTGCCTTGTTCAATTAAAACAATTGCATTTGCAGTTTTTCTGTATATTTGTGTTTGTTCACACTACAAATGTGTTGAAAACCTGCTGAAAGGTTTTTTAAGAATTAATGCAAAAACATGATTGTGTCATAAGACTTGTTTAAATTGTGTTGATTGTATTATGTGCTTTGTTTTAATACAAGTTAAGTTGAAATGGATTTTTGTGGTGGTTTTCATTATTTTGCATTTATAAAAGGGATTATGAACTCGAATGACCACAGCATTTACTCTGTATTTAGTGAAGGAAGAGTT